ATGAGGGAACTGATGAAGACAGTAGTTAAGTGACTTGCCCAGAGTCATAAAGCTAGTAAGTATCTGAGGTTAGATTTGAACTCAGGATTTCTTGACTCCATTGTGACTCTTAATGGGCCCTTTAACAGGAATGGGAGAGGGCAAAGTACACCAGCCCTCCTTCCGCTGAACAATGCCAATTTTGTTGTAGCACTTGGTAGCTGACTGAGCCCAGAGTAGAGGATCCCCTCTATGGAAGAAGGAGAGGATGAGGACCCAGCCCATTGGAGCCAAGAATCTGGTGTTTTATAAATTAACGCTTTGCTATGCAAGCACCAAGTGAATCTATTTGGTTCCTCACATGAAGGTTGAGGGGGTGGCTACTCATCAACCTCATGCCCCATAATGCTTGGGAGAGAGACTTACACTCTTGAGTAACACTATAAGGGACCAGCCTTTCCCTCTTAGAAGGGAGGCTCAAATTTTTTTTCCTTTTTCCTTTTTTTCTTTATTATTTTGGGCTTGGGGAAGGACTTTAGGAAGCACCAAAACAGCCAGTAACCTATTAGAACTTTATAAATGGTATTTATTTGTTAAGTTGCATCACCACATATTTGGAAGGATGCTAGTTGCTGGTTCTGCTAACGAACTGTGTCACATAGACTTTCCCTAAGATTCTTTAGGATAACACCCTGAAGACAAAAAGGACAATGGTTTTTTGGGGATGGCTGTCTGGAAAGATATAGGAGGAGGGAGACTGGGGAAAGTATAGGCTTGAACAAACATTTATTTATTTATTTTTTGCTTTTTGGTGAGGCAATCAGGGTTAAGTGACTTGCCCAGGGTCACATAGCTAGCAAGTGCCAAGTGTCTAAGGCCGACATTTATTTATTTTTTAAAAATAGTGAGAAAACTCACCAAGTCATTAAAGAGCTATCCAGGATTTGGGACCAGGGACTTTGCCAAACACACTCTAGTAGATTTGCTGAGGAGAGAAAATATTTAAAAAGGGGTGAGGCGGGAAGAGTGTAAGGGTTAGGGGGTCATGTGGGCCACATATGGCCTGGAGGCTGCAGGTTCCCCATCCCTGGTAGACAATTACCCGACTCCACTTAACAATAAGTTATGAGATGTTATGCCCTGTTATAACCAGGTAAGAACATGCCTCAATCAATTAATCAAAGACTTTAGACTAAGTGAGAAAAGTTCTTAAAAACGAACTGGAGTCAAATCAATAGGAAATCCATTCTAACTAGGCAAGAGACTTGGTCATACTTTAGGGGCCTTGTATAAAACCAAAGTGCTAACAGTGGCAAGCTAGGTGAGAACAGTTCCCTCCAAGTCCCTGAAGAATCACTTGGGAGTGGGGTAAGAATACCTTGGCCTCAGCCTTGGTCTATTCCCCCACCCTTGACTGGAGGAAGACCTAGTGAATGCTGGAGGACCAGAAGACTTTGATTTTTGTTGCTGTTGTCATCCTAGCAGTGTCCCTAAGACAACAGCTGCAGCAGTTAGGGGTATTGTCTGCATCTTAGCTGAGAGCAGACTGGATAGGATAAGGAAAAACAGTTTCAAGGCTCTATAAGAAGCCCATTAGAAAGGCAAACTGCTTGAGTACCCCATGGAGAGGAGAAAAGGGTTTCCATGGGCTTTGCCCCACATATGCTTTCTAAGTTTGAGCCCACTTTCCTCTGGACTCTGTATGTACTTGAGGGAGAGGATGCCCCAATTTAGAGAGAGGTTTTTTTGTACCAACTATACCACTATAGTAAATTATGTAAAGTAGTAAAGTAAATTAATTTTTGAAACACTAAGTCTGGCTGACTGATATCCACTGATAGTCACGAGGGGGAAATACATTGGGAGGGGCTCATGAGTGACAGCATTAGAAATACATCCCCTTACTCCTCAGAAGTAAGCCTTAGAAGCCCCGGCCCTGAAGTCAGGAGTACCTGAGTTCAAATCCGGCCTCAGACCAAACACTTGACACTTACTAGCTGTGTGACCCTGGGCAAGTCACTTAACCCCAATTGCCTAAAAAAAAAAAAAAAAGTAAGCCTTAGAGGGGGCAGCTAGGTGGTCCAGTGGATAGAGCACTAGTTCTGCAGTCAGGAGGACCTGAGTTCAAATTCAACCTCAGACCGAACACTTGACACTTACTAGCTGTGTGACCCTAGGCAAGTCACTTAACCCCAATTGCCTAAAAAAAAAAAAGTAAGCCTTAGGGAACACCTACAGTAAGCGGGTATGACACGAGTGAAGATCTAGCAAAAGAGACTGACAAAGATCAGAAGCAGAGCCTGAGCAGAAGAGCATCACAAAAGACCAGAGTGGGAGGAGTACTAAAGAACAAAAGTGTCAAATGCTTCCGACACATCCAAGTGCAATGAGAGTGGAGAAGAAACCACAAGATTTGGCACTGAAGAGAATATTGGAAACTTTAGAGAGAGAAGTTTCAATTGAGTGGTGAGGTTACAAACTAGACTACAAACTATTTGGAAGGGAATGAGAGAAAAGGGCTTTTTCAAGGTATGCAGCTAAGAAAAGTAAAAGAGACATAGGATAATAGTGAGGATGGGATCTAGTAAAGGGTTTTTTTTTTGTTTTGTTTTATTTTTTTAAAGAATGGGAGAGGCTTGGGTGTGTTTTTAGGCATCAGGGAGGCAACTAGTATATAGGGAGAAACTGAAGATTAGAAAGAAGGAAGAGATGATAATGGAAGCAATCTTTTGGAGAAGATGGAGGAGATGGGATCAAAGATGATGATAACGATGATGATGATGATGATGATGATGATGATAGCATCTACCTAACAGGATTGTTATAGGACAGCTAGGTAGCACAATGAATAGAGTGCTAGGCCTGGAGTCAGGAAGACTTGTGTTTAAATTCAGCCTCAGACACAGATTAGCTGTGTGGCCCTGGGCAAGTCACTTAACCCTGTTGGCCTCAGTTTCCTCATCTGTAAAATGAGCTGGAGAAGGATATGGCAAATCACTCCAGTATCTTTGTCACAAAAACCCCAAATGGGGTCACAAAGAGTTGGACATGACTGAAAAACAACCGAACAACCACAAAACAGGGTTGTTATAAGGATCAAATGAGCATATTTGTAAAGCACTTAGCACAGTGCCTGCCACATTGTAGGTCCTTCCCCTTCTTTTTCCCATTCCTGGTGATTGGCAAGGAGAAAATCTACTTCTTTTTTTTTTTTTTAATATGTCTTTTTTTTTTTTTGTCAGTTGGGGTTAAGTGATTTGCCCAGGGTCACACAGTTAGTAAGCGGCAAGTGTTTGGTCTGAGGTCGGATTTGAACTCAGGTCCTCCTGACTTCAGGGCTAGTGCTCTATCCACCACACCACCTAGCAGCCCAGAAAGCAGCTTCTTCTTTGGAGACTGGGGAAAAGAAGATACTTTGGAATGATGTTAGAAGGATGTGAAATGAGGAGAGAAAGAGCTCAGGACAAATGGCTTAAATTTTAATAACAATAGCTAGCATTTGTATAGCCCCTCGCTGTTTACAAAGCACATTACAAATATCACATTTTATCCTTACAATATCCCTAAGGTAGGTGCTATTATTATGCCCATGTTATAGATGGAGAAACTGAGGCAACCAAGGTTAAGTGACTTGACCAGGGTCACATAGCTAGTAAGTGTCTGAGGGCAGATTTGAACTCAGGAAGATGAGTCTTCCTGACTCCAGGACTGATGCTCTATTCGTTATACCACTTAGCCAAAGTATTCAGTAAGGGCCGTAGCTGGGAGCGTGAGGGTCAGGAATGTTGGGGGAGATGACTCAGAACAGCCTCTATGATGAGATAGAGACCCAACTGGAGAGTTTGGATTAGCTGACCTCTAAGGTCCCTTCCAGCTCCAGACGTATGATCCTAAGAGCAAACTTGTGAGGTAAGTGCTTCTGATAGTACTCTACCCGTTTTTACAGGTAAGAAATGTGAAGCTCAGAAGGGTCAAGTGACTTGGTCACACAGCTCCTAAGTGTCCGGTATGGGATTTGATCTAAGGCCTTTCCATATTTGAATTCCACTACAAGTGCTAGACTTCTGCCAAGGATGTGCTAGAGCCAGCTCAAATGGGCTCTGGAAAGCTGATTATTAAATTTTCTGTGTGAGCATTTAAACTTTGGAAAACTGAAAAGGCTACAAATTGGGGCTTGATTTATTGTTTTGTTGACTGCCCACGTTTAAGAAACCAATGGAGAAAATGCTAAACATTCAGATTATGGTGAAAAGAGTACTTGTGTACTTTTTTTTTTTTTAAAGAGAGCCAGTTGTTAAACACTTACCAGTACATCACTGGTTCCAGCCTTCCCAGTGAGAAGATTGTATTCCTTTCACAGTGAAGTGCTGGGTATGAGCAGGGGACAAGCATATGGAGCCACAGACTAGGAGATGGGATATCTAAATTCTAGCCATATAATCCCAGCCCATTTCTTTTCCTTTTTCTTTTCTTTCTTTCTTTCTTTCTTTTTTTTTTTTCGTGAGGCAATGGGGTTAAGTGATTTGCCCAGAGTCACACAGCTAGTGAATGTTAAGTGTCTGAGGCCGGATTTGAACTCAGGTCCTCCTGACTCCAGGGCCAGTGCTCCAGCCCATTTCTGATTGGGGAGACAGGAGGAGGCAAAAGGGAAGAGGGAAGTGCGAAGAACAATTTCCTTCCCCCTTCCTCCTCTGCAGCTCTGGTTCAGCCTGTGGCCACAAGAGGGCAGCCCCAGGCAGGACAGAGATGGGGAACAGGGCCAGTGGACGGAGTGATTGTTGTCTAGCCCCAGATGCCTGTGCGGGAGGGGTCCTACTGCGGGAAGAGTCAAGTCCTCCTATGCCCACCTTGCATCATCTCCTCCTCCCCTCCCTCTATACCTCCCCCTGCAGCCCCCACCCCACCCCTAACACATACACAAACGCACAAGAGTAGATGGCTAAGGGCCACAGCTGTGACACTTTAACGTCTTTAACATTAATGGAAGCCCAAAGGAAATGACAGGAAAGCTCCTTCTGGTGCAGCCTGGGGAGAGAGAGCAAGGTCTGCGAAGGGCAGCTCAGGGCAGCTCAGGGCTCAGAACCTCATCTGTGCCTGTCCTTGCTCCAGGTGACAGAGGCCAGGAAGGTGCGGATTTCCATGGGCTGGAGGGTGACAGCAGAGGGGTCCAGGGCGGGGGCCGGCTGCACAGGAGCAGAGCCTGTTAGAGGGAGACCAGAGAAACAGGAGATGAAAGGGACATCCCACCTCAGCCCCGGCCCCAAGAGGCTCCTCCTTGGCACTAGGTCCTCCCTACCAAGACCCCCTTTGGCCACACTCTAGGGCTCCCCAGGGACAGGGACCAGAAGCAGCTGTTCTGCCCCCTCCCCAGCCAGTACCTCCTCCTGTGCTGGTCCTCCACTGAAGCCTGGTGGCCTTGGAGAGGGGTTGGTCAGCTGACAGAGTGGTCTCCTCCAGGTGGCTGATGGTGAAGGCTGAGAACAGATCCTGAGAGACCAAAGAGAAGATGGGGCTGAGTGGGGTCCTCTCCCGTTTCCCCCTGCCCTTCTCTTGGTCCTCCCCTCTACTCACCTGTAGGTCCAGGGTCACTGGCTGGGACAGGTTGAACATGCTGCCCTCCTCACGCTCAAAAATGTGCTCCAGGCGCAGCAGGACTGTGTCGGGGCCCCAGTGGGCCAGGGTCAGCAGGTGCACAGCTGGGGGGAGCTCTCTTCGAAGTCCGGAGAACTGCCACAGAGGGAGCAGGGGGGAAAGACGGGTCCATGGAGCAAAGCGTCCTCCTTGCTAAGGCCCACCCTCCTGGGTCTGGGACACACTCTCACCTGTGTGAGTGCAGGGGTCCCCGGGCTGTATGGGGTGCCCTGCCCCATAGGGGCCAGCACCAGCTGTGGGGCCAGAGCTTCCCTCTGGGCCTGGAGGCGGTGCCCAGAAGCCACTGCAAGTGTCTGCCCTGCACCACCAGCCCTGTGCCAGGCCCATCCCCAGGCTCCACCAGGGTTTCCCTTACCCCTTGGTTTCCAAGATCTGCCACACTAGACCCTAAATTACCAGGAGCCCCCCTTTCCATGCTGCCGCTTCCCAGGAGGAGCCACCCTTTCTTTCCTTTCTTCCATTCTGCCTATACTATCAATGTCTGGGGTGGCTTCCCCCTTCCCCCTGCCCAGGAAATAATAATCATAACTAACATTTATATAGTGCTTTAAGGTTTACAAAACCCTTTACATATCATCCCATTAGATTCTGACAACAACCCTTTAAGGTAGGTGCTATCATTATCTCCATTTTACAGATGAAGAAACTGAGACTGAGAGATGCTAAGAGATTTGCCCACGGTCACAAAGCTAGCAGGATTCAAACTCAGACCTTCCTTCTCCAAGTCTAGCATTCTATCCACTATGCCTCTTAGATGAATAATTCAGCTGATGAATAATTCACCAGGGGAAAAGTACCAGAACGAAACTCCTTAGTATAACTGCTTTCCCAATCTCTCCCATTGAGCTAAAAGTTCTCTGGCTAGCACTAGGGAAACAGCAGAGGTAAAGCTAAGTCGGCTAGGTGGCACAGTAGATAGAGTGGCAGCCCTGGAGTCAGGAAGACTCATCCTTCCAAGTTCAAATCTGGCCTCAGACACTAGCTGTGTGACCCTAGGCAAGTCACTTAACCTTGTTTGCCTCAGTTTCCTCATCTGTAAAATGAGCTGGAGAAGGAAATGGCAAACCACTCCAGTATCTCTCCCAAGAAAACCCCAAATGGGGTCACAGAGTGTCAGACACGACTGAAAACTTGCCAACAACAAAGAATAACAAATAGGAAGATTTGGGGAAACACAAGAATAGTACTTGTCTGTACTGATGCAGAGCAAAGAAAGAAGAGCCAGGTACATTGCACAATGGCAGCAGCAAAGTAAATAAAGCCAACGTGGAGGGGTAACCAAACTCGGGACCAGCACCATGGTCAACAGCAGCATCTTCCTATCAAAGACCCACATCCCTCCTTTCTGCCAACAAGCTCTATCTTAGGAAATGCACTTTGTAAGGGGGATCCATTTGTATGTTGGGTGGGAAGGGTCTTTTGGGGGTGAAATGAAAAGTGCCAACAAGACTTAGTAAAAGTATACAGCAGCATCAAAGTGATGACCAGTAATTTTGATGCCTAGGAATTCAGCGGCAGGAAATAAATTCTGAAATCAACCTTGTAATGCAAAATGTGAAAATAATACAGGCATGGATCCCAAGATGCATTTCCCCAAGAGGAAGTCATCACATACATACCCATAGCAGTCTTTTTTGCAGTAGCAAAAAATTGGAGTAAAGTCAATGCCTATCGATTGGGGAATGGCTCAACAAATCGTGGTATGCACACATAGCAGAACACTGACTGCCCCATAAGAAATGTACATGGGGGGCAGCTAGGTGGTGCAGTGGATAGAGCACCTGCCCTGAAGTCAGGAGGACCTGAGTTCCAATCCGGCCTCAGACCAAACACTTGACACTTACTAACTGTGTGACTCTGGGCAAGTCACTTAACCCCAATTGCCTAAAAAGAAAAAAAAAACAAAAACAAAACAAAAAAAAGAAATGCATATGAAGAATTCAGGGAGTCATGGGAAGACATATGAACTGATGCCAAGTAAACTAAGTAGAACAAGGAAAATAATTATTCACAGCAGTGGTGGCGAATGGAAAGAACAAGGGAAAAAACTGGAACCGAATGCTATGTAATTATTATGACCAAATTTGGCCCCAAAGAAGAGAGATGGGAAGGCACCTCTCTGCATTCTTTGCAAAGGTGGGTGACTATGGGTGTGGAACATGGCATATCATGCCAGAATTGGTGGATATGCTGGTTAGTTTTGCTGAACCGCCTTTTCCCTCTGTCTTTTTTCTTCTTTGGAATGGCTCTCTGGGTGGGGGAAAGGGAAGGATTTATTAGGGAAATAAAGGTGATATGAAAACAAAAGATTGCAATATTTTTTAAAGAAAAAAATAATAGGGGCAGCTAGGTGGTGCAGTGGATAGAGCTCTGGCCTTGGAGTCAGGAGGACCTGAGTTCAAATCTGACCTCAGACCAAACACTTGACACTAGCTGTGTGACCCTGGGCAAGTCACTTAACCCAGTTGCCTAAAAACAAAACAAAACCAAAAAAAAAACAAAAAAAGAAATTTCTAGTGTGTTTCAAGTGTAGGGGTTGGGAAGTTCAAATGCGGAAATCTCTGATCGTTTTGATGATCTCACAGGGATGAGTCATTACCTGGGCTCAGGAAAGTATCTCCCCATGCGGAGTATGGGCATGCCCATTGATCCCTTCTTTAGAAGTCAGAGACAATCCTTGGCTGTTTTTCAATGACTGGGGGCAGCTCTATGATGATTGATTTAACTGAAACTGAGGAAAATGGACTCTCGTCAGAGGAGCTGCCCTTTTTTGAGGACTTAGAAAAAAAGGATGACAGGCTGACTTCAGCCATTTTCAGGCTCATGTTTATGTTTTAGCTTCCAGCTTTCTTCGAGAGTGCTTTGATAAGCACACTTTTTTTTTAACTTTATTTTTCTTGAGAGTTTTTTTGGGTCTCTTTTCTTTCACAACATGACCAATATGCAAATATGTTTTGCATAACTGCACATGTGCAACCTATATCAAATTGCAATGAGGGAGGAGGGAGGAAAGGGAGGGAGAGAATTTGGAACTCAAGATTTAAAAAAAAAACAATGAAAAAAATTGTTTTTACATGAAGTTTGAAAAAATAAAATATTAAATAGAATGCTTTGATAGAGGTAGGAGAATCCCTTAAGGAACAGTGGATGGCAACTTGTGCAGAAACAGGTGATGATGGTAAACATCTATTTGCATGCAGCCTGAAAGAATGACTGATAGTAGCCACTAGTTAGTGCAGTAGATAGAGAACTAAGCTTGGAGTCAGGAAGACCTGAGTTCAAATTTGACCTCAGACCCTTACTAGCTGTGTGACTGGGCTTAACCTCTCTCTGCCTCAGTTTCCTCATCTGTAAATAGGGATAACAATAGCACCTACCTCACAGGATTGCTGTGAAGATCAAATGAGTATAAGTATAAAGTGCTTAGCAGTGTCTGACACATAGGAAGAGCTATATTATTATTATTATTATTATTAATATTATTAGCCTAACTGATGGCAGCAAGCAAGGGCACTGATAGATTTCCTGCAGAAGCACATCACAGAAGCAGACATGTGCTTATCTCTTCTCAGACTGAGAAGAGGGCTCATGGACAATGTTCCTGAATCCCAAACTCCTGTGAAGAGAAGGGATTTAGTCTTCTTATATACGTCACATATATTCCAGAATTTAGTCTTCTAGCTAGGGAAGGAAGACTTCCAACCTTAGGGATTGCTTCATGTGTGACCCTTCAGATCAAGTTCCCAAGTTTGTTAGTCTGGGAATCAGACCTCCTAGAAAGATAGGGATTTTTTTGAGCAGCTTTGCCTTTTTGGATAAAGAAGAGAATTGTCCATATGGCTCTGGTAGCTGAAGGAGCTGTTAAGGAAATCTGTCACTTGGGGAAGGAAAGAAATTTGGACCTTGCTACACTCCACCATACCAGTGAGTTATTTTGATAGTACAGTTTGATAAGACAGAAATTTCTTGTTCAACAGCTTCTCCCACCACCACCATCACATATGTTTAATTCCCAGGAAAGAGTCTGGTTGGTATTACAAGTCTTAGGGAACCATGTGGGACCTCCCTTGTGGGAAAGAAGGACTATAGAAATGTCAGACGATTGCCCTTCAGAAGAGGACCCAATGAGCTACTTCCAAGGGGGTGTTTTTGAATCACTTTGAGGTTGTCTTCAACCCATATGCCTTGCTACATTGAGCATCTTACAGGAGCTGGGGCTCCTGCTACCCACATTTAGGCTAACCTCGATACAAGCTATCCTAAAGCTTTATTTCAGAGATTTCCCCAGTCTAAATTCTGGGATTAGGGTGGGACAAAGAGAGATGAGGATTATGGCAGGGCAGACCTGGAAATTAGAAATTGGACCCAACCCATGTGCGCCCAGAGTCTTTTTTGTTTTTTGTTTTTTGTTTTGGTGGGGAGGCTACCTAGGCAACAGGTTAAACTAGCAATAAAAACTACCCAGGGAGTAGTTTGCTTCAGTGGCAGTGAGTGACTTCCCCGTCACTGGGGATTTTCCAGCTGATGGTGAATGATCACTAGTCAGGGATGGCACGTAGAGGACTCCTGTTCAGGTTCCATTGGATGCCCTCTGAGGGCATCTCTTACTCTCTTGGCCAATTCTTATGCTTTGTTCCAGTCAGGCCCCAGAGAAGTTTAAGCTCTTTTATTCATGGCAACCCAGTGGATAGCACTGGGCTTGGAGTCAAGAAGACCTGTGATGGAATGCCAACCTTGACGCTTACTAGTTGGGTGACCTCAGTCAAGGCTTTAACTTCAAGGAGCCTCTGGGTCTTCATCAGGCAAATGAGGATGATACACCCAGCAAGTACCTCCTCAAAGGGTCAATGTAAGGTACAAACTAATTAATGTATGTAAATTGCTTTGTAACTTTTAAAGAGTGATATAAATGTCAGTTATTAATATATTTTCCCCCAAATAATCCACATTTGTTTTTGTTCGGTAGTTTCAGTCATGTTTGATTCTTGCCGACCCGTTTGGGGTATCCTTGGCAGAGATACTGGAGTGGTTTGCCATTTCCTTCTCCAGCTCATTTTACAGATGAGGAAACTGAGGCAAACTGGATTAAATGACTTGCCCAGAGTCACACAGCTAGTAAGTGACTGAGGCTGGATTTGAACTCAGGTCTTCCTGACTGCAGGTTGGGTGCTCTCTCCACTGTGCCACCTAGCTGCCCCAAATGCACATGCTCCACCCCATTGGGATGAGGCCAGCTGCCTGCTCTAAACAGAACTCACTCATCTGCTTTACAAGGCCAGGCTCATTCTCAGGGCCTCAGGAATTCTCTTGGTCTGTGGTTGGCCATGGGGAGTTCTATCCACCCACACATTCCTGCCTAATCCTCAACTCTCCACCCCAGCCTTTAGGATGTTTCATCCAAAGGTTCATAAGGAACCTTTCTTCCCCCACCCTCTTTTCCTCACAATGCCCCAAGTGTTTGCCAGGCTTGGTGGCCACACCCCAGCTCATATCTGCACAAGTTGAGCCTGGGCCCTGTGTCTCACAGGAAATGGCACTGAGCTTTGGGTTCTGAAGATGTAGATACCAGAGGCCTGTGAGTTTCTGTAGTCCCCGCTGCTGGCTCTATATCTGATGGGGAGTGGGAGGAGGGGAAAAATTATGCCTTGGTCTGGCTCTGCTCTAAGTCTCTTGTCCTCCTCAGTACTTCCTGCACTCTTCCTCCCTCCCCATTGTCCTCTCCAGGACCCCCTCACCAGTAGAAAGCCTGGGTGAGTGGCAGCCTCAGGCCCAGGTCCAGGTTCTCAATCTCTTGCAGGAGCCCAGTTCTTGGGTCAAACAAAGCTCAAATGTGCTAGATGTACAGACAGACAGGCAGACAGATAGCTGAAATGTACAGTAAGAGCCTTAGACCTGCCCCCAAAACTAGACCCAGCACAAAGCATTGGGAGGCTACTCCCTAGGCCTGGAGAAGGCTGAACTCTGAGGGTTATACCTCAATTCTTTCTTTTCTCTACCACCCAACCCGGCTCAAAGATGTTTCACTTTCCTTCTCCACTGGCCTCAATGACTCACCTCATTTTGGATGACCAGGGTAACAGGTGTAGGGGCTGCAGGAGTGGGCACCCTGCCAGGCAGCCTGGTCACAGAATAGATGCTGAAGCCAAGGGGAGGGGCTGAGGCTGGGAAGAGGGGCTCAGGAGGGGAGGTCCTCATCCTACACCCGACACAGCAACAACCTTAGTGGAAGGGGCAGGGATGTTGTTTAATGAAGGGAAACTGAGACACAGATGTAGTGTCTTTTTTTTTTTTTAAGGCAATTGGGGTTAAATGACTTGCCCAGGGTCACACAGCTAGTGAATGTCAAGTGTTTGGTCTGAGACTGGATTTGAACTCAGGTCCTCCTGACTTCAGGGCCAGTGCTCTATGCACCTAGCTGCCCCGATGTAGCCTCTTTTTGTCTCCAAACTGCAACTCATTAGAGGGTTCCAAAGACTTGGGGAGAGAAATGTGTAGCCTCACCCAGGTGAGGACAGTGAATGATGTCACTAGGGGGGATTCTGGGATTACATTCTCAGGATGGTTATAGGGGGAGGTTAGGCACCAGGAATATTCTGGAGAAGGTAGATGAAATATGTGGTCATTACCTCACTAGGCACAGTCTGTTGGTTGGCACCCCTCACCCAGAAGCCCCAGTTGCTGACTGGCAGACTCACCATCCAGCTCACTGTCCATGCCGGGGGTTGTAAAGGAGGACCAGGAACTGGAGGGGTGTTTCCATGAATCCTTGTCAAAGTGGCTGATCTTTCAGGTGTCTGAATTTTGGTTTCTGCAATAGTGAATCTGTTCATTGGCTACAAATTCCTGTAATGTGGAAGATGATAAAATTAAACTTGCTAAACAAAATAAAAATAAAAATTAAAAAAAAAAAGCAAAGAACTGGAGGGCCAATGGAGGAGTCAGACCAGTCCCTGCACCAGTCCCATGCCCAGCAATAATCTTTCTTTTCCCATCTCCCAAGCCCAATGAGTTGTCCACATTTCCCACTTTGCCCCAGGGCCTGGCTTACACTGGGGTTCCTCCGGCTCAGGGGACTTATGCAGGTGATTACAGAACACAAAATCTTCTTGGGAGCCTCCCAGGCTTGCCAAAGCATTGCTCATCGGCATCTGAGAGGGGCACAAGGATCAGCCTCCAGCAAGGCCTCCACCTCTCCTTCTACTAGGGGCCCCTGGGCCACAGCCATACCTCACACTGCTCCCAGCCCTCCACCAGCTGCTTCATGGGATACCACTGACTGCATCACGGTGCTGGGCCGCAGCCATTGCCTTCCCTGGGAGCAGGTGATGTGAGGAGAGAGCTGGGGGTGGGGGGCCATGGGCTGGGGACCAAGAAGAAAGAAACAACCCTCCTCCTCCAAACCCTCCCCTGCCATGGGTCCTGTCATCTACGCAGGTAGATACATCTTGCTTGTCCATAGGAACCCTGCGATGCTGCTGGTCCAGCCAGTGCCTCCAGCTGATTACACACCTGGTGGGAGGAGGACACAGGGGCCAAGTGGAGAAGATGTCCTGTGTCTCCTTCCACGAATCCCCCAGTCTTCTTTACTTGGTTCCACTGGGCCCCCATCTTGTGATACATGGGAAAGAGGGCCAGAAACGGTGTGAGAGCTCCTGGGGGACAGGTCTCTGCTGCTTACTACCTATATGACCTTGAGTAAGTAATTTTAAATTCTCTGGGGTCTCGGTTTCCTCATCTATAAGACGAGGTGGTTGGGTCAAATGACCTTTAATCTCCCTTCCAAAAGCCAATCTGTGATCCTATAACTTGGCTCACCCTCTATCAAACAGAAGTTTCCCTTCCCCTAGGTCCCTCCCCCCATCCCATCAGGACTCCATCATATATCCTCTTTCCAAGGACCCTCATACTCTTCCCACAGACCCATTCCCCAACCCCATCTTATCCTCCTTTCAGAGACCTTTATACTCTTCCCATAGACTCCTTCTCCCCCTCCATCAGAACCCCATCTTATCTTCCTACAAAGGACCCTCACACATTTCTTATGTTCTTCTCTCTCTGCCCCCCAGCAAAGTCCTTACCTGCAGACATTTATGGCTCAGGCACTCATAATCCTTGAGGGCAGGGTGGCTGGTGAAGCAGCCAGGACAGAACTGGTGGGGGCCACCTGCAAAGGGCAGAAGTCCTCCTTCACTGTCCTGGGGCATGGAGGGGTAGGGCTTGGGGGCAAGTCACTCTCTGCCCAGAATCACTGGGGCAGAGAGCGCTTCTCTCTCCACTCCTCCTCCCCCTCCCCCTCCCCCTCCCCACCACTCTACCACCCTAGTACCAGGTGAGGAAGGCCTCGTCCAGCTCCCACAGGTAACAGGCAGGAGGAGAGTAGAGGACATTGACGAGGCTCCCTCTGCTTTGCTGAGGGGGGAAGGGAATGAAGACTGACTCAGTCTGCCCAACCCCGCCACCCAGCCAGCGTCCCATTCTCTCCTTGCCCCTACACCACACGCCTCGATACATACCTTGGCATTAACAAGATGTATCCATTTGTCCAAATCATCTTGGCTCCAGTAGAAACCACTGTCCATGGTCATCACTGTGTGCTTGGAGCTATAACACTGGGCCTGGATCCTCAGCTTCCTGAGCCCACTGCTGGGAAGACAGGGCCAAGCCCCGTCCCAGTGCCCTGCTCAGGCAATGGGGTCCAGGGATCTACCTCAGAGGAAAAGAGATGTGGGGCAGGATCAGGGGGAAGCCATTTCGTCAAGGCACAAGGAGGTGTGGTGAAGAATCGCCCTTGGGAGAAAGGGCCAGCAGAAGTGGCTGAAATCCATTGACCTTCTTGGATATTTTCTCCTTTCCAACACACAAACTCAGAAGGATCTGGGTTGCCTGCCTAATCCCTGTGCCCGGGGCACTGGTAAGGCAGCCAAACCAGAAGGCCACCTTTCCAGTTTGGCTCTTTATAGCCCCATAGCCCTACATCTCCACTTGCAGAGCCTCCTGAGGCCTGTGGTGTTGGACCATTGTTCCCCATCTGACAGTGCTAGAGTTAGGGGGCACATGGTGGGGAAAAGAGTAAGGCCAGGATGTGACTCCCCACAGAAGCCTAGTTCAGCCTGGGCAGCTGAGCCCCTGACATGGCCTTGAAGAGTAAAGATAGGCAACTGAAAAAGGCTGGTGCCATCACTCCCAGTGGCAGTCTGGGGCTGTAGACTTGGAGGGCTGCCTTAGAACTGGGGCCGGGTCTCACCTGGGCAGCAGCTGCTTCCAAGAAGTGGCTGGTCACTTCTTTGGCCCTGGAGTCTGGACTGTCTGGATCGTCCACTACAAGGTTCCCTTCTCTGACAGAGCAGAGAGAATCCTAGCACAGGCCCATTGGTGGGAAGTAGACATTGAGAAGGATGCCTAGGAACCAAACAGTCAGGCCAAGGCCCCCTCATTTAAGCTCCATGCTGCTCTCAACCCTTGCCATGGCCCCTGCCTCTTCCTCATCCCAGAGCCCACATTCCACCTGCAGCAATCCCTTGGCCCCATGAGGTTTTCCAGCAAACTTCAGGGAAGAGAGCGAGGGTGGGAAGCTGCCAACAACTTCTCTTACTGGTGAAGAGGTCGGCTTGAGGAGGCCATAAGTTGGCACTCGCCATCTAGCTCTCATGCCTCTGCTCGTCCTGATAATCCAGGTGGTTCAAGAAATAGCCATCAGTGCCCATCTGTGGGGAAGGAATCAGAGAGAGATTAGGGCCTGAAGTTCTCTCCAACAACATCTGTGGGGAGGGGAGGGGAGGGTCAGAGGGCAGGAAGTGGCAAGATGAGGCATAGGCAGAGAACACTGAGGCAAACCTGGGCAAAGAGGGACGCTTGCTCCCGTGAGAGGCCGAAGGGATCAGTATGCCAGGTGACTCGAGGGCGGCCGCAGAACCCAAAGGTGTCTTTCAGGAAGTGCAGCCCTAAAGTCATCCGGTCAATGATGGCATAGTATGTGGTGACCTTATCATTTATGACCCAGCCTCTGTTGGCAAACTGGAGCCTCCCTATGGAGTAGAGGATGGGGTCAGGTGAACTCCCTCGAGGAAGGAGGCATGTGGTCCCAACTCCCTCCCTGGGAAACTAGAGCAGGTACCAGGCTGCCTGGCTGGGTAACCATGGGGCCCATTAGGGGACACTGGCCACCTCCCTGGCCAGGTAGACAAGACTGGGGGCAGAGAACATGCCCACATGGTCATCACAAGGCACATGACATCACAGAAAAAACGCACGGCACATGTGTGCACACACATACATGCCTATGTGTAAGGAAGCAGCCTGGTTTAGTGAGAGGCAGGAAACCTACATTAAAGTCACAGCTCTGACACTTCCTAGCCAGAGGACTTTGATGATGCAAATCTCTTGAGTCTCAGTTTCTTCATCTGTAAAATGGGGTGGTGAGGGCTGGTAGAACCAGATGACCTCTCTGGTTCCCTCTAGCTCTAATGTTTTCTGATGCTGTGGTCCCCTACCCTTGGCCCTCCTCACCCTGGCTGACCAGCTGCTGCACAGCTTGCCTCCTTGGGGCCTATGCTGCCGCCACCATCAGATGAAGAAGGCCATCTCAGAAAAACTGAAGCGTCGAGATGGGTTGGCCAGCAGGGCAGATACCATGGAGTCTATACACACTTGTGAGGACCATCATCTGATCTGGGGGCACAGACAGCCACCACCGCTCACCTCAGGGAGGGAACATCTTGCCTCCCTCGGGCCCCAAGGCACTCCCTCTCCCTCTCCTTCTGCAGGGCCCAGTCCTAGCATCCTTTAGAAGGGGCTCTGAGTACCTGGCTGGGTTCTTGGAGTAGAATGGCCTATGGATCAGGTTCTGCCTCAAGTCTCCCAGACACTGGGACCAATCAGCAGACTCCAAGCCTCGTAGCCACTCTCTCTGAGTTAATGCCCTAACTTGCCCTTCTTTCTCACCTCCAAAGTGATATTCATCCACCATCTGGAGCCAGCCAACATCAACGTGGGTATGGGGGCAGTGGGTACACATTGATCATGGAGGGATGGGTAGCTGGGCATAACTGGGCAGGGGGCAGAGACCACACCACGGGGGTGCTTAAGTTGCAGAAATGCCTAGATTTCTAGCTATTCCCAATGGAAAGGAGGAATGGGAAGCCAAAGATGGTGGAGTTAGGGTGGGTCCACAGCCTAGTGTCCAAGGTCCTTGGATTCCTGCCTAGAGTGTTAGCTCATTATTCCAGGAGCCTCCTGCTCCTGCATAGAAATAAACCCTGGGCTGGCTTGGCAATGTTCTTTCCTCTGGAAATGTCCCCTTGAGCGGGCTCATAATTACTCCACCAGAAGTGATTAACTCTTTGGAGTCAGCATAGATTCCTACCCACTGCTTCCCTTGAGTTAGCTCAGCTCCTGGGGCACAACTTGTGCCTACCGTTCCTTGCCTCTCTTTATCCTTGCACCCCCAACACCCAACCTCCTCTCCTCATGGTTCTGCCCTGGTTGAAGGCTCTCTCCCTAAGCCAAGCCGGACACAGACTTGCTGGCCCAGCTCCAGAGGGCACAGGCCCCCAGGCTGGGCTCTGGATCCAGGTCATTTTTCTCATTGAGGCTGCCCACTCCACCCCAGCTCACTTGTTCACTTGCCTTCCTAGTGTCACCTCAGCAGATACCTCACCTCTTTGTAGCCTACTTCCCTGGGGCCCCCATGTCCTAGTCTGACCACCAGGGCCCCACCTCCCCAGAGTACTATCCCAAGTGGCAGGAATCCTCTGGGTAAGGGCATGACTCCAGCCATCAGGCCCGTCATGGGCAAAGGCCAAGAGGACACAGCAGCCCTACCTGCACTCACCTCATAGCCACGGCCTCTGGTGCACCACACTAACAGTAGCCACAGTACCAGTGTGCCAATGGGCACTACTACCTCCATCACCCTCATCCCAGACCTGTTATGGCCACCGCACCCAGTCAACCCTGAGATTGACAAGAGGACTACAAGGCTATAATGGAAAGCAGGGGAGAGCCAGGCAGGACCAAGTAGGTCTAGGCGTGGGCTTTGGCGGGGAGGGCTGGGGCCTCGGCCTTGGAGAGAAAGCTCTTTGAGAAAAACTGGACACCAGAAGCCTAGTTACATTATTTTGTTACAAGTGAGGAATGAGAAGTTGGTGTAGACTCTCTCCTTGAGATATTTAGTGTGTCAGGATCCCTAGGGGAATGGGGCAGGGCTGGGTAAATTTTACCCTATCCACCCCCAGGACAGCCTGGACCAGTGATTGTTCAGGTGTTCACCTAGATAGGCACACTTCTTATTAAGCCTTAATCACTGAATGGGCTTAGCCTCAGTCAAACTGAGACCTTTTAAAGACTTTAGCTTAAAAAGGCTAAGGTCCCCCAATGCATCTGGAGCCATCTCCAATTGCCCTGATCTATATCTGCCCACTGGACCCAGTTGGCTCTGGGTGGTGACTTTGCACAGCCCTGCCTCACTTAAATCCAATTCACTTGCATGTCTTGGCATCATCTCCCTGATGTCACGGTCCTTTTTGAGAATGAAGAACAAACAGCAGCAATCCCAATGCTACCTTGGCTCCATCCTCAGCCTGGGGCTTCCTGGGGGGTTCACTGAAACTGGTTTAACTCCCTTGGATCTACCCTGGAAAAGCGTATCTCCTTCATCCCAGAGACTTCCTTGGAGTGGGGGTGGGTGACTGGCTCCCTCTTAAATAGGGCTCCTCTATGCTAGTTTGTAGGGCCAGGTGCCCCCTCAGAAGTGCTGAGGATCATTCTGTCTGAGGTGGCGATAAACTCTAACGAGAATTGGGGTGGGGGGTGAAGATTGATCAAAGAGAATGTAGAATTAGAAGCCATCTAGTATAATCCTTTCATTTTACATGTGACACTTGTTCAGTGTAACCAAGACTGGGGCAGCCCCCATATAACAGGCATTTGTTGATACATCCCAAACACCCCCCTCCATCTGGAGTGCTACATCTGATGAGAGCAGGAGTATGGCTGTGGCTGGGCCATCTCTCTCTCGCTCTCTTCAAGAGGAGACTTGGTTCTGGAACTCTAGCTCTCTACTACACATCAGATACTTGTTGTGTAGGGGGAGAACTCTTTTTGAGCATCTGGATTAAAGCCACTGTCCCTGATCATACTGGGATGAAGGTAAGATAAAGGAAGTAGTCCCATCCCAGAGCTGGGCTTAGCTTTCCTTCTCACCAAACCCTCATTACTCAAAAGTCATGGATCCTATTTCCATTACTTTTCCATGCTTTCATTTTTCCACAAAAATCATGGCTAATAAGTAAACATATTTTACTTGCTAATAGTAAAACAATAATCAGGAAAATCACTTATATTAGTTCAGATGATAAGGCGCAAGTCCAAGAGTAAGATGAAATTTCAGCTCCAAGTGGGAGTGTTAAGGGAGGGGGTGAGGGTGGGGGGTAGAGCAGAATGGGAAACCATCTCACCCAAGAAGTCTTCTCTAAGCAGTCTCTATCAGTGTAGGTGCTAGGAAGCAAGGGACAAGTCAGGCCCTGTTCTTCCTCTGTACCAGCATTATAGAGATGTCCTTCCTGGGATCTCCAGGCCCATGATGGGAGGGGTATACAGTAGAGCTCAGTATATTCAGGGTGTCCCCAACGTTTTCATGTAGCTTTAAGCTTTAGTAGCTTAAAAGTGCATTAAAACTTTTGGGATAAACCTCCATGAGGAAACTGAGGTTCATGGAGGCTCAATGACTGTAAGGGTCAGTGAGGGGCTGGCCTCTAGGCTGGCAGGAGCAGACGTGCTACTAGGGGGATGAGTCAACGACATTTTTGTATTTGTATCCCCAAGTGTTTAATAGGTGCTTTTGCATTTATTCATTCGTTTATTAGACTTGGAGTCAGAGAGGCCTGGATTCAAATCCTGCCTCAGATACTTATTAGAATGATTCTGAACAAGAATCTTCTCTGCAACGTATATGATGAGCGGTCATCAGTTCTCTGCTTTAAGTTCTACACAGGCCTCAAGGTGGGGGGAGACTGGGGAAGAAGGGGAGAGGAAGTCTGTGGTTCCCACCCATGAGCCTGTGTGACAATAATTACTCAGAGATGCACCCTCCTGAGGATGGAGCATTCCCACCCTTCAGTGGCAATGCCTGGTCTCCATACTGCTCCCTCTCCTTGGCTATCCCTCGAGGCTCTGAAGACCCTTGTGCCTCGGCTTCCAAACCTCAGGCTACGTATTACTCATGGGGTAGCTCAGCTTCTGCCTTTGTTTATGCTGAGGTCCCAAAACCCCCTGGCTGCCCGACATATTTTAGCTAGCACCATAGCAAACATGGGGCAGGGCTACTTTAGAGCTGGAATCTGGGCTGTTCCTTGTTTTCTGATTCTCTCAGACCCTCCAGACTTTGTATACAATTGTTTCTCTGTTCCATCCCAGTCTTATACATCTCCCCGTCTTTGTGCCCAGCTCAAGATTTCTGAATCACAAGGTACTTTTCTCTTTGTTCATGTGGCTAATCATCAGTTCAAGCGTAACTCCCTCCCTTCCCCACTTGCTACCTTTTATATGTGTGTCTATATACACATACCTTTTATTATACATATGTGTATATTTTACATATTATACATAAGGTATGCATATATCATATATCATCTATGCATACGTATAAAGTATATATTCTCTCTCTCCTATTGCCCCTGTCAGTGAATAATGGGGAGAAAAAGGAGAAAGAAAACCCTCAGAACAAACACGTATAGTCCAGCAAAACACATTATCATGTTGGCCATGTCCAAAAACATTTTATTCTGCATTTTAGGTCTATCACTTCTCTGGCAGGAGGTGGGTGGCATGATTCATCATCAGTTCTCTAGACTCACGATTTATCATTGCACTGATCAGAGTTCTAAAGTCTTTCAAAGTTGTTTTTCTCTAACATCATTTTATAAATTGTTCTCTTAGGTCTGCTCATAGATTCAGTTCCAAGATGCCTTCCCGGTTTCCTCTGAAACTGTTCACTTCATCATTTTTAGGCCTGATAATATTCTATTAAATTCATATACCATAATCTCTTTAGTCTTTTCCCCAATTGGAAAATACCCTCTTAGTTTCCAGTTTATGGCTACTATAAAAAAAAGTTGCTCTAAATATTTTGCATATATACACAATTTTCCCTCTATTCTTTATCTCTTTAGGGGGGTGTAAAGCTAGTGGTTGTACAACTGGGTCAAAGGGTATGCACAATTTTGGAACTTTTGGGGCGTAGTTCCAAACTGCTTTTCAGAATGGCTAGACTAATATGTAGCTCCACCAACAGTGCATTTCTCTAATTGTTAGTGATTTTGGAACACTTAAAAAAAAATAGGGTCATTAATAGCTTAAATTTCTTTTAAAAACTTCCTGTTCACATCCTTTGACCATTTATTTATTAGGGAATGGCTCTTAGTCATACAAATTTGAATCATTTCCTTATATATTTTTCATATAAGACCTTTATCAGAGCAATTGGCTACAAAGATTCTTTCCCATTTACCTGTTTGCCTTTTAACTGTATTAAAATATGTGCAAAATATTTTTTAATTTTACATAATCAAAATTGTCCATTTTATTTTCTGTGGTCCTTTCTATTCCTTGTTTAGTCATAAATCTTTCTATCCATAGATCTGAAACCTAATTTTTTCTATGATTCTCTAATTTGCTCATGATTAGTAATCTTTTATATCTAAGTCATATATCCATTTGGAGTTTATCTTGATAAAAAGTATCAGATGTTGGACTATATTTAATTTCTACCAAACTGCTTTTCAGTTTTTCTAGAAGATTTTGTTATATAGAGTCCTCACCCCAGAAAGTGGAACTTTGGGTTTATCATACACTATGCTACTATATTCTTTTGCTTCTGAATATATCTAATCTGATCCACTGGTCGCCTGATCTCTATTTTTTAACCAGTACCAAATTGTTCTTATTATTACAGCTTTGTAGCATAGTTTGAAATCTGGTACTGATCTGGTCACTGCCTTGTCATAGTGGAAGGGCTTGTGTATTGTACAAGAAGTAGCAACAAAGAACATTCCGAAGAAAAAGAAGAGCAAGAAAGCAAAAATGGCTGTCTGATGAGGCTTTACAAATAGCTGAGGAAAGAAGGAAAGGGAAAGGGAAAGGAGGAAGGGAAAGATGTACCCAACCGAATGTGGAATTTCAGAGAATGGCAAGGAGAGATAAAAAAGTTTTCTTAAATGAGCAATGCAAAGAAATAGAAGAAAACAATAGAATGGGAAAGACAAGAGATCTCTTCAAGAAAATTAGAGATACTAAGGGAAAGTTTCATGCAAAAATGGGCATGATAAAAGACAAAAATGGTAGGGATTTAACAGAAGCAGAAGACATTAAGAAGAGATTACAAGAATACAGAAAAGAACTGTGCAAGAAAAATCTTAACATCACCAATAACCACCATGGTATGGTTATTGATCTAGAACCAGACATCCTAAAGAATGAAGTCAAGTGGTCCTTAGGAAGCATTGCTAACAATGAGGCTAATGGAGGTGATGGAATTCCAGCTGAGCTACTAAAAAATCCCAAAAGGTGATGCTGTTAAAGTGCTGTACTCAATAAGCCAGCAAATTGGGCAAATTCAACAATGGCCACTGGATTGGAAAAGATCAGTTTGTGTCCCAGTCCAAAAGAAGGGCAATGCCAAGGAATGTTCAAATTACTGAACAATTGTGTTTATTTAACTCACCAGCAAGGTTATGCCTAAGATTTTTCAAGCTAGGCTTCAACAACATGTGAACCAAGAATTACCAGAAGAGCAGGCTGGTTCTCAAAGAGGCAGCAGAAACTAGAGACCAAATTATCAACATTCGCTGGATTGTGGAGAAAGCAAGGAAGGTCCAGAAAAACGTCTATTTATGCTTCATTGACTCCAAGAAAGCCTTTGAC